TCAGAAAAGCAAGTATCCACCAGTAGGGCCACAGCTACTGGGTGGCTTTGCCAAGAGATTGCACACATCTTCTGCCCTGGCACAGGTCAGAGGCCTCAGTTCTAAAGAAAACTCTCAAGGTGGGGAAAACAGTGATGGGTGATAACAAACTACAGAAAAAGAAAGATTTGACACACGTCCATTATGTCAACAAAGAACAATTTATTTTGTCAGAAGAAAACTGGTCTGATCAGACAGGTGCTTGCCAATTTGGATATATCTACCAAAAAAGTAATGAACGTCAACAAGATGAGTGTTTCAAGGGGAGACGGTCCTTTGAAACAGACTACAGCAGTTCATTTTAACAGAACCAGACCCTACATGAAGAGGCTTTGTGATCTCGTCCCTACAGGAAGCATCTTCAGGGGCTGCCACGACCACCAAACTAATTTAGAAAAGGCATCGTAACTGCAAGTAGTCTTTTATGTAAGAGCATCGCTGTTCCCTTCTGACCTTGAGACTGTCCCTATATCCTGTAGGACAAAGCAGCACGTGTCACTCAGATTTAATAATACCTCTACAAAGTCGTCAGAAAACTTCAACTTTTGAAATCCCTTTCTGCCCCAAACTGTAACTGCTCTCACCAGTCAATACGCGAGTGCTCTACCTACACAGATTGAGTACAAACCGATTTCCTGAGGGCAAAGAGATTGACGGCATTAGTGAGGAGGAGTATAAATTTATTTAATAGAAAAAAGAATGAACCTCAGGCGAGGACTCTGGAGCACTCGGCATCACGGCCTGCCTTGGGGGGGGGCATTGGTAGAAAAGCTCCTCTCCTAGAGGAGAGGACTCCAGGACACTTGTTTATTCCCATGGGTTCATTTTGTGTTCACTCTTGAAGTGCGAACGGATAAACGTTACCTTAATTATTCCCAACGTGGCTCCAGGCCAGCTGCCGCCTCTTGCAAATTAAGGAAAAGGACACGGAGGAGGGGAAAATAAAGGTCTGTGAAAAAACAAGCTCGGGGCGTGAGAAAGGAGGAGCAGGCAGCGCTGAGGCTGCCGTGCAGAGCCTGGAAGGAGGTGCTCTGCAAGAGTATGCTGGAGAGGGGATAGGGACGAGCACTCTCCCCGGTTTGCAATCCACAGCAATGCCATCGGCAAGGAGATCCCACTGCAACACATGAAGGAACTTCATTGCTCTCTGGGGAAAAATGTGTTTCAAGGCCTGGCCTCTGCGTGGAGTGAGACTTCTATTTCATTAGGAGGACCGTAAGAGCAATCCGCTTGGGCAGGTCTACTTTTCAAGTGATTTTGGAGGATGCAGCCAGGACAATAAATTAAGCAGTTATTTACAACAGTAAGTATGTGCATACGTGTACATTCACAGTTTAAGTTGGCTGAAAATTTACTGAGAGAGAACTGAGTTAAGGGATTTTAGAAAACGTGAAATAATGGAAAAATTGTCAGGTACATGTTTTTCCACTGACATCAAACTTTTTCTTTCCGTTAATGAGAGAGGCGCAGCACAGCTCAGTGAAAAATCACACAACAAAGATTAAAAAAAAAAAAATCTAGAATAGCTGAACTCTAATCCTGGTTCTGACAACACAAATTTCCACTGTGGCCTATAACAAGAGTGCAATTTCTGTGCAACTGAACTGCAGAGATGAAAAGGCTGCATGCTCTGAATTAGAGAGCTCACGTATCTACTTGGCTTTTATACTTTTCAAAATCATCCTACCTGTAAGTAAGCTCCGGCTGTACAATGTACCAATTAGCTCAACACTGGTACAGTGCTTCCTTTATGTTTTATAGTCTATACTTGTTATCTTGTCAACCTCTTAAATTGGTCTGATACGAATGTTGGTGAGATACATGGGTGTTCCTGACCCACATACAGACCAAATCTCTAACAGCCCAGCCTCTGAAATGAAAAATAAAAATCAAAAATCTATCAAAAGTAAGCATTCAAGTTCCTCCCCAAAATTAAGAAATTTCATAGAATGTTGCATTTGTTTCACAGCCAAACTTTACCAAGGGAAACAAGGTATTGAAACGTGCTAACAGGATGCATGAATTATTTCAACTCTGCCCGTTAGTGACCAGACGCCACAGGTCCGTGACCACATGTTGTCACAGACAAGGTAAGTTCTAATTTTTCTTCAGTGTCACTGTGTGCCGTAGCTGTGCATTTCCATACCCTAATTTGTTTGGATTTCTTTCAAGTCTGACCTTAATTCTGGGTATTTCCTGGGTTTATAATATTTAGCTTGGGGATATTTACAACATACCTTTCATATATTTTGTCCTCAATAACTGAATGTGTTCTTAACCTTAATTCCATCTTAAGGTTGCAAAATGGAAACAACGTACCTTTATTACATGGAAAATCTCACGCGCAAACAACAAGCAAGCAGCCCAAAGGATGCTACCTTGCAGTTTTTCAAATGATTTGCAAATACAAAGGATGTCGATTCTTTAATAATCGTTTATTTTAACTTTTATTGCCCAATTCAGGGATACACTCTGGCTACTTAATGCTGTGGTAAAGCAGCACAAAAATAACACACCCGTGTTGAGATGCACGTTCCACTGGCGCATTGCTGAGCAGCTGCTTTGCCCCTTCAACAACCTCCCACTCCCTCTTGCCCCGTAAATCCCCGTCCTCCACCCACCCTCTCTCCCCTCCAGCCGTCACCTGCGTGTCCACACAACCTCATCACCACCTGCCTCCTTCCTGGCTTCAAGCCCACCTCATTCCTACACGCACCTATGCGCACCTCTTGCCATTCCTGCCCTGGGGTAGATGGGATACGCCGGCTATCTTCTAAAAACTACTTCATTAGCGACGACTTGCAGGCCATTTCTCATTAACTCATCACTCATCTTCAAACAAAGGTTGTCATACCAAATCTTGAAAGTCATCCGTTTTTAGCGACTACCTGCTTGGTTTCACGGTCGAAGTCTTCTCCCAAAAAGGTCAACACTCCCTACAGCTCTTGGGACAGTGAAACCAAGTCCGTAGTGCCTGATGCTGTCAGACAGGAGGCCGAACACTGAATTGCACGAAAAGGATGTCAGAGAAATGCCCAGCGACTTCAGACTCACTGACTACTGCCCCAAACAGGCAGCTGCCACAGAACTGTCTCTGCTGATGCAGGAGTTTCAACTATAGACAGAAAAAACCCACCCCGCGCTGAAACTGGCTTGATCACAGATGCTGAGTTTCTTAAGAAAGACGTTTTTTAAAGCTACCTCCTAACAAAGCAAACTGATTCACTTGCAGGTCCTTAGAAAAATCTCGTTATAAACAGAGTGCTTTAATTTTACGGAAGATCTTTTCATCTGTAACAAAAAAGCTGAATTCCTACTTCAAATGGAAACCTCCTTTAGAAAGAGATCAGCTGCAGCTAACAAAATTTGTTAATGCACTTCACTGTACCAGTTAAACCTTTAAATCCTTTACCCATTAGTGTCACATTATTACTTGCTCTTTTATGACCTATAAAATATTACGGTTCTAGAAATGCTAAATCCCACATTTATCCACAGTGAACATTTACTCTAGATCTTCACTACTTTTGTAAAAAAAAAAAGATGTTTTCCTCATACTTTTTTCTTCAACACCATCACGCCTACAACGTATTTCCTACAAAGTTAATCAGTATAAAATCTAGATCAGATCCATAGCAACTCTAAAAAAATATATAACAACTATTTTGGGACAAAGGTTTTTCATCAGTGCCAAATGCGCCTCCGACACACACACGTGCATGCAGGTATCAGCGGGAGAGCCACGCGCGTATCGGAGAAACATGTTACGCCCCTAGACCTAGGCAAGACTTCCGACACCGCGGGACATGCAGGACTTACTGGCTAATAATGAGACTACGGACCACGTTTACGGTCAAATCCTGAATGGCCTCAGTCACGGACGAGTCGCGTTACTTTTCACTGCCACTACTTCTGCATTGCGTGAATTAACAAGCGGCCAAAGTTAAAACTGACGGCTCCCACAACACAGAGATCTAGCTAAACGTTTCCAACAATGCCCCAAGAACCGCAAGTTCACTTAGTCTGTATTTTTAACAACACAGGGCCTTTGTTATTATAAATTTCAAAACAAAACCAACGAATTCCACATAATATTTATACTTTCAAAAGTACAATATTAATACAGGTCGGTCAGTTAGAAATAACAGCAGTTTGTTAGGTCTACAAGATTTAACGTAAAACCGGTTTACAAATGCTGAAAAGCAGTAGTGGTCCAATAGTCACCATTACATGTGAATTTCTCTCTTCCAGAAAATAAAAAAAAAAACCAACAAAACCAATTCAAATTTACCAGTATCAATGAAATATTAATAAAACACCCCCAAACATGCCACAATCACTATTCACAAATAAAGTTAAAATGAAATATACAAAAATTCACTTAATACTGTTAAATAACAATAAACTACAAGATTTCCTGAACAGAAATGGTAGGACCCCTGAATGTTTTACAGTGAACGTCAGGAAAAATTAAGTTACCTATGACTATTTTCATGATATACCAGCCAAAGATTTACATGACCATTTCAAAATATACCAATAAAGATTTACAGTCTCTTTAAGATGCACTAAACAAATAGGTTCATAAAGGTGAACACAAATGCTTAAAAATACTGTAACCATCACCAAGGGCGTACTTATGATACTCACTGAGATGCATAAGCGTAGTAGTAACATGTTTACTATCTCTGGTAAACAGATAACATCTAAGATCTGAAAAACTCTCTAAGTTCCCGCTGTAAAAGCCCTGTAGTTTAGTGAGTTCTTACCAAGTACAAACTTGCATCTTTCCAGTTGATTTCAAGTGAATAATGCACAAAAGGGAGAGCAACAAAGTGGGAGAAATGTGACATTATTCCCATGTTCTCGTAATTAGTTATCCTGTTCCTCTGTAATGAAGAGATTCTAAATTTCTAAAAGTAAGCCAGGGTCCAACATATATGAATCATCCTTTAACTATTTGTATTTCTAAGTTAAAAACAAGGTAGAAAAGTCATTGCTTCTGCAGGCCCCATATGCACAACAATGTGCAAATATCTTATGCTGGAGTAAGCCTGACAAAGTTTATCATCCAGTCTCCATGCTCTAATTTATCAATAATGAACAGAGGATCTGAGAGCACATAATAGTTACCGTTCACTTGTCTGCATCAACTTTCACACCATGTGCTTTTCAAAAACATAATACGCATTATAATTTTTCAACTATTTCAACGCATACTTCCAACGTTAAATAAGGAATTAAGTGCCATGAACTTAGAGCATTAAAGATGGTTCACCTATAGCCAAGCAAAGCTATGTTTACATTCCAGGAAACACTGCAGTTTAAGAAATACAAAAAAACCCCGCAGCAGTAGAACATTTTATGAAGAGAAACAGATGCATTCACATATTATAAAGCCATTGCAACTTCTTCAGGCATGGAACTGTTGTGTTAACTATACAGACAGTAGTTATTTAGCAGCAATGATTCCGCAATAAATAATGCACTGTGTTTCTCAGTCCTGCACAAAAATTGCAGCTACAGTTACATCAACAGCTGTAACCTACTGGCTCTAGTGGCAGAGGAGACCTTAAAACCAACTGTACAAAAAATTGTCACACTGTGACAACAAATATAAAAACATAATCTGCAGGTTGGAAATAAAAAGACTCCACTGTGAAGAGGACAGTGTAGACAAACTGCGATTCCAAGTCCACCAACAGAGAGCACTGCCTTCAGATCTGAGTCCTGGATTGACAGGATAGGCTTGGGCTCGACTCTGCATCGCCTACTTTAAAAGAGCATGCTCTGCCTTCTGTTCTTCCCGTGTCCTACAACAGAACATGGACCACGGTAAGAAACCAAAGCATTCGCACAACAGAGGATTCAGTTATCATCTACATCTTCTGTCTGGCTGTTTCAAAAGAATATCCCGTCTTTGTGCTTAAACTAATATCAGCATCTTTCTTTTAATTGCACTTACTATCATTTTTTTTATTATTTTTTTCCCCTTTCAACACCCGCACAGGAATGGTTTGAAACTCCAAGATGTTCTCGTATTAACAGTCCCTCTGCCCATCCCTAGTAAAACTCACCTCCTTCTGTGCACTTAGCTTATATGTCTCGACAGGAATCTGAGCAAACCATTCTTATTATTTGTTTGAGAACACTCACACGGACCAATTTAACAAAGTATTTTTCAGTTCCGAATGCTTCTGGCACAGCATTCCATTTGCAGAGATGCGAAAATCTTAAGCTTTCCATACCTGTCTCAGGGTAAGCGGAATTTCGGAAGCCAGGGTCTTTTTGCAACTGAATCTCTTTTAGACTGAATATTGAAACACCTGGAATGTAACAAAGAAATTAATTCATATCCAAACATAACTAAGCTTTATCGAACAAAGTTCTAGTCTTAATTACACAGTGTAGATTAAAAAAAAAGTTTCCTATTCCAAATTATTTACATCAATATATATCAGACTTCTTTAATAGAATACTATCTTAACAATACTCTGCTAATTTACTACTCCTCTTACTTTCAGGCAAAGTGTGTATTCTTGTTCCAAGACTTCTGAAATATGCATGTTTCATGGCCTCTTCTGCTGAAATTCTCTTCTTCGATTCATACTATTAACATAAAAGGATACAAGTGTGTTGGTTTTCATCAAAAAACTCTTTGCATCAAGTGATTTCATCAAAGACTTGCTCAGTATTTCCCACTAACTCACTAGGACAAATTTGTTTTCATTACCTTTATTTCACACATGAAAATCTAACATATGTTATCTAAATCAGTATTATCAACATATAACAAGACTGCTAAAATAGTCAAAATAACTGCTGTGAATGGATGCAAGTCAAAAACATACTTAATCTTTAATTACAGATATAACAATGATTAGATGACAGATTTCTGTCTACGTTATGTTCTAATATTAAATTGCAATGAAATGCTATTACATAAGATCACAAAAGTTTTCTAATTTGATGGACTCTGCTGCAGCGTTCTGCATACAATGGAACTTTAGACTACACGGTCTTCAGTCTACACTCAAATCTCTCCTGCTTGGCGTGTGTGCCCATCTGAGCAAAGATGCAGACATTTCAAAAGCTGTATACAAGTAAGAACAAAGTCCAAACAAGGACTGCAAGTACCGGGCTGACACAACATGTAAACAGATGAAGACCTGATGTAGGATTTAAATCATAGGCTGCAAAGCAGAGTAACTGCACTCCACCTTATGTACTAAGAATTGTTAACATTGTGAAGTTACAGTGCTTCTGTGTCTACTTAAAGACTTAAGAGTTGACCTTCTGTCTGGCTTCCCCTCTTCTTGCTTCTGGCTCATTTTTAATACAGATTAAAAGATTAAACCCACATACCACTTCACCTTTTGAATCCAGTTTCCGAGATCAAAGAGTAATATTACACCTTAGTGGCTGCTTCTCTAGTAGTAAGCTAAGTTCATTGCTACAGAAATTCAGTATTTGTATTTAAAAGTTCTGTTTCGATACCGTATTTCACAGGAGATTTAGTTTTTTCAGCGAATTGCTAACATAGAATCAATTCTATTTTCTCAAAAAGTAGTAAGAGAAGAAATCACTTCTGGGAAAAAAAAATAAATTAAACATCAGGTTTTAAATTCTTACAGTATATAGACTTCCCAAAACTGTCATTCTTCCCAAATCTGTCATCCACTACAGTCTCAGCTGCATATTCCACTTTGAGACAGATCTAATAGATACTATGGCTTCTAATACATTTTGTAAATAATGTATTAAAAATCCAAACTTGCAGTTTTATGAAGTAAAGCCACAAAACACATCTTACTTGAAGGAACTTCGCTATCAATTCAATCCCTTCAGTGTCTAGCCTAAAAATAAAAATATTTAAAAAAATTAAAACAGTTATTGAACTATATTTACAAAAGCAAAACTTCCAAGGAACTGATTTCAGTAAGTGATATCAAACCTGAAAGTTAAATTTAAATGCAGAAATGCTTTCACCTAAACAACTTCTCGGCACGTTAACATCTATACATACAAGTACCAATATCTCAGAACAAGACTATTTGAAAAGCACTGGGGACAAATCCTGAGCTTTGGACTGTGATTTACTAGGTTGGCCTGGATCATTTATTTTAGCAAAAAAATTTGGGTTTGGTTTTGTTTTCAAAAGTCCAACAAAACTCATTTACTAGAAGGACACAATATTGGATCTTTTTCTTCAAAGTTGCTAAAAAATGTGGTAGTCTGTTCTAAAAGTTATTTATAATAACTATGCAGACCCTTCAGATTCCTTATGATGGTTTTAGAATGATTTCCAGAGACTGCTCAAGGAAACCTTGCCATTTTATAACAGGGTTCTTAGATGAGAATTCAGGTTATTTAGGAAGTGCTGTGTGAATACTCCTACTATGCAGGCATTATTAATCAGAGTTTATAGTTCTCTAAGTCATTAAGGTGCTGGGGCACCTTGAACGATATTAGACAAAGTAATCATGTAGTACCAGGACTATGCTTTGCACTACTATCTGCCCATAATAACACAGCTGACGTGTAGTATTCCAGCATTCAGTAGCAGACTGTACTTGGAAACATGTTCACATTTACAAATACGCAAAGCCAGAGAGATGCATATTTTCTATTAATAAAACACAAAGTACCTTGGTGCATGGTTGATGAGGGGTTGTGGTTTATACTTAGGAAAGTTGTAGTTTCTAAATTCATCGCTGGAAGAAATGCCCGGCCATGTTTCTTGACATGGGGTTCCTACATTTAAAAAAAAAGCAACAAATTCAACTTAAAAAAATGTAAAGAAACAACTTTGGCATAAATAAGTATTTAATCCTGTAACTTAAACAGCAAAGAAAGAAAAAAAAAAATCTATCAATGAGTCTCTGTTGGACAAACTCAGCTGTGCATTCAGCTTAATCATTTTTCATCAAGAGTATACTCATTCACCTTAATTACAATGCAATATAAAATATCATTGCTTATAGATACAGATCTACAGTTCTCGAGAAAAAACTGTTTAGAAGAACAAACACATAGCATTAATATTACTGCTTAAAGTATCCATTTACCCAGAAGTCTGAAAATTAAGTGCAGTTCATCTTCAACCGTTGAACCAGGAAAGAGAGGCCTTCCTGATGCCATTTCAAAAAATATGCATCCAACGCCCCTTTATAAAAACAGAGAAAAAGATAAATCAGAAGCAATCCAACAATTGAAGTTTTCAGCTCTTAAAGACTTCTGTCATTTCTCTTCAATTAAAACAAATTATTAAAGTAGTTGGTAGCCACATGCTGCTATGAAAAATATTGTTTTGAAAGATATGTAGCAACAAAAGAACTGTCAAAGACTAAACAAAACCTATGTCATAGCTATATTAAATCCTCTTCCTTCAGATGTCAAGTTTATCAATTGTATTAAAAGTTCATAGTAAAGTATCACATTATCATGTCATTAGGAGAACATTTGTTTTTTTCCGTAACACTGTGGGCCTAACGTCTGCTTACTCTAAGCAATAAAAAGGTACTCTGCCATTTTCAGAGAGAAATAATAGTATCTTCCCTGACTGCCACTCCTTTCTCTAAAAATCTAACTCAGTTGTAGCCTTCAAAAATTCAAAGGATGAGCACTTGAATCCTTCTATATAATATTAATAAGTTGACATTTTTTCAACTTGAACGAGAATAAAAATTTAAATTAGACAAAGCTATACAAACCACATGTCAATTTGAGTTGAATACTCTGAAGATCCGAGGAGAACATCAGGTGGTCTGTACCATAACGTGACAACTTCATTGGAGTAGGTCTTTGTAGGAACAGACTTCGCCCTGGCCAATCCTTGATATAAAGGCAAATAAAGTCATGTGCAGCTCTTTTTTTTTTTTCATGAAATCAACAACGATTCTTTAAAAGCTAAATCGACCCTACTGTACTTGCTCAATACCTTCCCTTAATGCTCATTAAAAAGCCCTAATAAATACATTTCTACAACTTGTGATTTGCCTCTTAGTATTTACAGCAATCTCATGATCAGCATTTTTATGCATAGAAGATAGGCAAAGAGATCAAAACCTGCAGCAATCCTATAAATTTGACAAAAACAACAAAGCATTAGATCAATATGACACCTCCCTCCGCAAAAACCCTTCTGCACGATTGCCATTTGAGAATTATGTTGCAAATGGCAGAAGGCAACAAACGAGTAGTGAAACGGTGGAAACAGATCAAATCGGTGTTGGATCAGCAGGGGTTTTCCATCCTAACATTGTCGGTTTGTCAGTAATATCTTCAATAAAATTTAAGTCTATCATGTTAGATACAATCTTCTGAGCAACTTTCATTCACGCACAAGGGGAAAAACCAGTGGTAGCACAACTTTCAAAGGACCTTCCTGACACAGAAGATAACAGGAAACTGTGAATGTCCCACTATTGGAAATCCCAAAGGAACCTGGTGTATCAGTGACGGAGTAACACCTGACAATTTAGCACACAGACAGACCCTTCCTCCCTCCCGTCGTGATTACTCTGCTTTAGAGTGATGTGGAGTGTTAGGAAAAGCAACCTGAGCTCCACCTTAAGGATCTGACTAAGTGTTGATTTCAAAGGATGCTGTAAGCCTACTTTCAAACCACAAGTCATGCGACAGTATTACCTACACACCTACTACTTTGATTACTAATATCCTGTAAGAGGCTGACTTTCATTTTCCATCTGAGAACGCAGAAATTCACTACAGACCCGATGTTCTCGTTTTTCCTTTCTAAGAAAATATTAGTTACAGAATAATGCCAGGCCATACCAAAGTCTGCAAGCTTCAGTTCTCCTTTCTCATTAATTAGGAGATTTTGTGGCTTCAGATCTCGATGCAATACCTTTCTTCTATGACAGTATGCCAAACCACGAAGAATCTGGTATAAAAACAGCTACAAAAGAGAACATTTATATAAATTAGACTAAAAATGTTAATCTACAGATTAAAGGACTATAATAGCCCATTTGGGCACTGTTGAGTTAAGTGTCTGTATTGTAAGCAGGACAAAATACTTCTCAAAAAGCAAGTTACTTTTCCATGTGAACACATTCTGAACATCTTAATTATTGTTTACAGATTTAATATCCCTTTATGCTAATGCCCTGCTTTAACACATTACTTTACAACAAAGATTTTAAGAGCAATTTGTTCTGCTTAACTGAAGAGAACCACAGGGCTGTTTATTTTTAAGTAAGCATTTACCAATGCTCTTCCCCCCACACTAATGCCTTTAAAGGTAACTGTCTCTATACTCAAGTTCCCTTCTGCCACAGAATCCCTTCTGAAAATGCAGCTCAGCATCCTTTCCATCCAATTGTGTTAAACTATGTAAAGAACGTTTTGCCATGCTGTTGGAAAAATACACTTGGATTCACAAGCTCATGAAATGTGGAGAAATGAGGAAATGAGGATTACTAAAACAGCCCAACTGCTTCTGGCATTTATATTCATCCCCTCACCTTGACACACACAGGTTTATTTTAGTCCTTTGGAACAGCAAGCCAAGCAAGCAACTTCAGCCATGCATATTAATGCTGCACATATATAGACACAGAAGTAATAAGGGATAAAGAAAGGTTTAACAGAGGGCAGCCAAGCAAGTTGACTGTATGACTGCATTAAGAACTACCATTTTGCAGTTTCTGTATATATAAAGGGTCCGATCTTAAACATGGGGCTCCTGCGTAGCCATTGCTGGCATTTGCCACACAACAGACCTCAGCCAGTATAGACGAACAAATGTACAATGAAAAAATACAGAGCATTACAGAAAGCAACGTTTACCAATGCGACAAATTCAGCATGTAACAGGACTTTTGAGAAGAAACACTAGAATGCCTTTATGTAACCATTTTCTAACACATCAGTTTATTTTTGTACCAGGTGACACCACCGAATTCTTTTTCCTAAACTGGACAAACACACAGCAGGTGTAGCTTACATCTATCTGTTCTCAGTCTGCTTAAGTGGGATTTATCTCTTCTAGAAAAAAAGGAATTGGGATAAATTTCTTTCTTTTCTTTTTTGAAGGGCAGAATGAGAACCAACAAGCTTTGCTCCATCTACTCATGCCCATACTGTTGCAGGGGCAGTCAGTTCCCAAGTAGTATTAACAGGTCTGCTATGGAAATCGATAGCCATCTCCAGTGTGGACTGGGACTGCAAGGATTAGTCAAGAAGGCAAAGCAGATTATTCTACAGAAATTGTGGATCTTCACCACAGCTGGCATGGATCCTTTTGGAAATGCACAGGACTACATATATGGTCCCTTCCAACCCAAACCATTCTGTGGTTCTGTGGTATTAGCTCAAAATTTTGAAACAGTAATACCTGCAGAGATTGCACACATCTTTATATTATACATCTTCATTTTGTTAAAACTCAAAACCCTAAAATTAGCTGAGGAATGTGAGGGGAGCGATGACAGGGAAGTCAATAACAACCCAAACCCCCACAGTCATTGCAAGGTAAGCACCTGCAGCTACTGCAATTAAGCAGCTGTGCTGGTTTCCCAGTGCCAAACATACTGACCATGGAAATCTGCTCTTAGGGCATAGCTTAAACTACAGGCAAACAAGGAAAAACAGTTCCTCTGCTTAGCTTGGATTACCACAAACAGATTCTGCTTGTTCTCTAACTGCACTTACTACAGGAGTCAACTTTCCACTTACAGCTTTTTTTTATTTCTTTTTTTAAGCTTAAAGCACTACTTACTAACTTGTAGTTAATTAAAAATACAAGCATAATTATGTTTTTTTTGTTGTCTCTCTGAAGTAAATACAAATTAAAGAACTTCCCTTTGTATACTCTCAAAGGAAGCAACAGAGTAGGTTAAGGGCAAATATCTTAGTAATGTGACAACAATAAAAGAAAAAGCCATCTAAACCGTAACCAATATCTAGACTGGATCCCATATGCAATTCAACCAAGAACAGATTTTGCAACATGCAACTAAGCCAAACCCAAGGATGACAACTCTACTGGAATGCACACAAAGCACATCACTTCACAGTATTTAGTACATTGTGCTGTCAACCATGTTTGTGCCATGTGTATAAGAATAAAAGTAATTTTCCTACCATGTGTGCACACTCATGGTTTTGTTCTTTAGGATCACAGCTTAATGTTTTTCAAGAGGCACGGAAGAGTTTCTCAAACACATCTACCATACAATTAACATCCCTTATATGAATTATATATGGCTTAATGAAAACGTTTTGAAGGAACAGTCCAGCACAGGCTGCAACACAGCAGGGTCATACCAGTAACCCAGCCTCCTCAGACAACTTCACTCATTTCAAGATAGTATTGTCCTCTGTTTGGAATCTTGTTTATAAAGCCAGAAGTATTAAAGAACATAAAGAATTATTCCAGTTTTCCAAATCAAAACCTGCTTGTTACAAGAGAGGTAACGCTTGAACCTGAGTTAGTTTCAGCAGGCCAGATCGGAAACCGAGGGTTCCTGAAGGTCTGCACCCTGTGGAAGGGACCCACACAGGAACAGTTTGTGAAGAACTGCAGCCTGTGGGAAGGACTCGTGTTGGAGGAGTTGGTGGAGGACTGTCTCCCGTGGGAGGGACCCCACGCTGGAGTAGGGGGAGAGCGTGAGGAGTCCTCCCCCTGAGGAGGAAGGAGAGGCAGAGACAATGTGTAATGAGCTGACTGCAACCCCCATTCCTCATCTCCCTGTGCCGCTGCAGGGGGAGGAGGTAGAGAAATTGGGAGTGAAATTAAGCCTGGGAAGAAGGGTGAGGTGGGGGGAGGGTTTTTTAAGTTTTGGGTTTATTTCTTATTACTTGACTCTGATTTCATTGGTAATAAATTAAATTATTTTTTCCACAAGTCAAGTCTGTTTTACCCATGACAGTAATTGGTGAATGATCTCTCCCTGTCCTGATCTCGACCTACAAGCCTTTTGTTACATTTTCTCTCCTCTGTCCAGTTGAGGAGGGGAGTGATAGAGCAGCTTTGCTGGGCACCTGGCCTCCAGCCTGTGTCAACCCACCACAGTTAAAGAAAATGATTTCCATTTTATTACTAATGGAGAGATGAACATCACTCGTTCTTAAACATGTATTCTTAATTTCTTACTTGTGTGGTAGGCAATGGTATCCAAATCCACATTCATGACTGAAGCTACATTTTCCTCAGTGTGCATATATAAATTTTATTTGAGGATATATCAAACTACAGACTTGACTTAATAAATGAGTGTAAAATAATGGAAGGACAAGAAAAGGTCAAAAGAGTTATGAATGTTTTGTTTGGGGTTTTTTTTAGGAATTTTTTTACTTTAAATATATAATTTCAAAGAAAATTAAAACGTATAAAGTTATATTATCTCCTGTTTTCAGTGCTATAAACTCTTAAAAGCCATCAAAACCAAAAAGAAAGACTCCATCTGATGTCAAATGTAGTTAAGCCATGCCTAAAGGTCAAAAAGGAAGTTAAGTTTCCTAATTTTATTTTATTTTTTTAAAAAAGCCCTAAACCATGTAGCTCTTAATTATTAAGTTCTCTGAAATTCTTAGAGCAGAGAAAGCTGGAAGACACTCACTGTCACTGAAAACACTCACCTTTACGTTGTGCATACTCATGATGTTGCCACAGTCATCCATGTACTGCTTCAGATCCTTGTCCTGTCAAAACACCATCATCATTGTTCAGCAAAATTGTGGACAACAGATTAGGTGACTATTATCTATTATTAGAACGGAAATAATTCATTAGAAAACTGAGTTTTCTGCAAGAGCCGTTCAATGATATAACACCCAAAAGCCTGAACATGAAGAAAACTCTGGTTTTCCAGAGTATATAAATACCCATGGTTTCCAGCAAGCTGCATCATCTCCGACATTATTTGTTATTGCCTTCTCCTCCACCTTGTGTGTGCCACAATTTAAGAACTGAAATTGCTACATTCACCGTTACATTGCAAGTAAAGAGTTTTTCTTCATCCCTCTTATTATGCTTACATATTCCAGCATATTATACAAAAATATCATTAGTTAAAGCTTCAGTGAGAAAATGAAATGCCTACCATGCAAGACGTGAGCAAGTGAGATACGTAATTGTAGATACTTGCTTGAAAAGGTTGTTACAAAAAGATGGAATGGGTTTATTTTGAAGTATACTTTTTTCCTTAGCTAACTTGTCAGAGTTGCATCATTGTTTGAAAAAAAATTGTTGGAATAATAGCACAACTATCCTTTTTTATAGTTAACAATTTTGGTACAACTAGACAGTTTGCTCAGGTAGATTAACACTAACTGCTATTAATGAAACTGAAATGATCAGAACAGTATTTACTAATTTACAGCAATTTAAGAACTGAATACACTTTTCTCATTTTCAGCTGAATGATTCTAGAAGCAGGAAAAACCATTAACAGTCCCAGTATTTTTAAAAAGAGTACAGAATTTAGTTATGTCTATGTTACTTTGAAACAATAAATTGAATGTAAACGTCACTAGTTGTTTAAGCACTTACCAGATATTCAAAAACAAGAGTCAAAGACTTGTCTGTGTGCACAATATCGTGTAATGTAACAATATTTGCATGCTTCAGATCTTTTAATAATGACACTGCAAGAGAATTGTAAGCATAAAATAAATGCAAAACACATGAGCAGTAAATGCATTTCTAGCAAGCTCATACATATAAGCTATTTTTTTAAAAAATTAAAATGCTATTTTTAAGAACATAATACTCATATAGCATTGTTATACTTGGGTTAAGAAAGGTATTTAATCAAAACACCAAACAGACATTTGACTAACAAACTGTAAATATTTCCTAAATTATACATTTCGGGCAGAAGTAGTCATTTGGTAAAATGCATTCTGAATCCCTGAAAGTTACTCACTAATAATAGTCAAATTCAGCATAAAGTTATCCATTTTATAACACTGCATTTGAGAACACAACCACCCCCCATAAAGTAAATAAATTTGAAACACTAACTCTTAATATGTCTAGACTAAAATTTTCCTCATCAAAACTAATACCAATTGCATTAATCTCCCATGTAACCTATGTATTTCCAAGTACCAACAGTACTTTGGTCAAAAAGAAATCCAGAAGTATCTGAAATTTTAAGGAGTTTAAAAAAAAAAAAAGTTATTACCTTCCCTTATGGCTGTGCATGGTGCTCCCTCTTCATGTTCCAGGCGGATTTCTTTCAGGGCTACCAAGTTCTCCGTCAATTTACTTCTCCCCTTATAAACTGTTGCATAAGTACCCTACAAAATGTAAAAAGAAGAAAAACTCTTAAAAGTTGTTGCTTCATTGAAAAATCAGTTAAAAAAAGAAAACAAACTTCTATCTGAGGTTCTAATAGATTTCATTTTGGATATGAATAGTTTTTACATTGTATTCTTTTGATATAGATAAAATGACAAAAATATTTTGTAAGCAGAGGTCTGAACATGCAAAAGACACAAGGGACATGTATGCTTAACAACTCTGAAAATGACAGAGGAAGCTATACACCATATAGCTACCAAAGATGTCAGATCAGGTAGCATTAAGTTCACCAAGATCACTGGTGGGATCATTTACCCTCTTGAAAGTCTCTATTTGATTAAAACTAGCTCAGGTATCTCTACACTACGCTGCAGTTATGTTTCTGAAGGCTGCAGACATACTCTTCCATCACTTTTACGAAAACACCTAACTCCTTTTGATAGCTTCTTGCCTTCCTTACATATTTTACATGAGATTTTTTTTTTTCCCTTTTTGAGAGGTGAAGGAGGAGTTGTCAAAGTTTCATTTTGGTTGACATCATGAACAGTGAATATTATGAAGCTTATCTTTCCCAATTATTTTTTTTTTGTTAGACAAAAAGAGATTCAAAACTCTTAAGGTATGTTACATAAGGACAAGAAACCCTCACAGAACAGCACGCAGGTACAACTAATCCCAGCAACCGCAAAGAGGAAGCAACAAAGTTACAGAAAGTGCCCTAGGTTACAGTACATACCCTGTGTTGTCCGCTATACTTTGTAAACCAGACAACCTACACCTGCAACTACGACTTGATAGCTACTAGACTGACATTCCTCCAAAGATACGCAATGTTACGTCATGTTTAGTGACACATCTAGCAAGTACTAGAGGCAGAACAAAAACCAAATGCATTTGGAAATCAAAACGCTGCCAATGGAGGACTAGCTGCAACATTCACAACGGAGATGCAGACCAGCCCTGCCTCTTTCTGCAACGTTCAGCGCGTCCCATCCTGGTGCTCCTCGTCCGTTTTTGATCCCATCGGCCAACCTCAATCAAACTGGACAGGACTGATACTTGGCCCCTCCTGAATTCTCCCATTTCTCTGGAAGTCAGGGGCTGAGCAGAGGTAGAAAGCTGTATGGCTGCCCTCCCAGAGGGAAAGGCAAACTCTGTGTCATGTACTTCACTTGGCAGCACTCGGCTGGTTGTCCAGCTCAGGCATGCAGGCTTCTCCACCAGAACATGCCCAGCTACTGCCTGCTCCCCGCACGCCCTGGCTTCTTGCCCAGCCTGAGCGCTCCCTAACACCTAACGCACAGCAGGACCACACCAGACTTAACTCTGGCGATAATAAAACTAGTTACTTTGTCTATCTGCACCGAAATCCAGCCTAGGTAAGAAGGTCACAGATCATTCATTAATGGAATTTTGCCCTTCCCCAGCTCAGTGATAACTTTCCTGCCTTTTTTTTTTCCTGCTTATTATAAAAGAATAGAACATTTGTGTGGTTGTGACATTGTTACATGTTGAGTATGTTTGGTTTAGTGAAAAGATAAATTCAATGGGTATTTCGAGGGACACGGAGATTTTCAGTTAACATTTATGTAAAATTTTACACAAGACATTGTCATCAAAGCAGTAATCATTTTACAAGAAAGCTATACATACCTCTCCAAGCTTTTCTAACTTGATATAGGTTTCCATTTTTCCAAATCCAATTTCTGACTGCAATGAAAAGAAATGGAAAATTGATCACTAAAACTGATCACTTTATTTACACATCATTTAAATATTTGTTTCAGAAAAATACCTGATAGTACTTGACCAAACACCTCACAATTCCACTATTTTAAAAACAATTTAGCATATTATGATACAAATGCATCCCAGCATCCAAGCCTAATGCTTAGGCTGTTGGCCAGTCTACTGTGTATCCTGGAAGGACTATGTACTGAGTTACACTCAGACCGAAACCCCACTTTACCCTACCTCCTACTTAAGTCTACTCCACTGTTCTGATCTGATTACTACTAATGAGGTGGTTATAGCTTAAAGCACAGATGTAATCTCAAACTATTCCATCCTTTCTCTTGCTCAGCATAACCATATGCCGCTGCTCCTTTCAAAGTAACTTTACTCATTTGCTATGTTCAAGATGTCAGCTCCAGGTCTCCTCTCCCATTCTGACCTCTCAATGCTTTTCAGTCTAAAATTCTTCAAGTAAAATCCCTAAACATCAATCATTCCTCCACAAGCTTCAGCTTTGTCGCAGCAACTTGTGTTTCATGGCTCATAACGTCAAGTCTTTGCATATTTGACTTGGATTTATTCATCTCTCTTCTCATCACCAACTCAGCTCTGCAATGCAAGCCAGGAGGGTTTGCTGCCTATATAACACCTTTTTCTGAAGACTGTATGATCATTACACCTTTCCTGTTGAAATCCACTGCTACTCTTACATTTAATCCATGAAAATAACTGTAAGAGGTAACAGTAAGACCATTGCCAGTTACACCAAAGCTTTATGTTGTTCTGACAGTGTAAAGAATGCTGAAAGTAGACATGTAAACCAGGTAAATTTTTAAAACAATTTACAAAGTGCATATAACCTGTACCCTGTCAAAACCCCAAATCCATAGGCTTCATGAGGTTTTGTTTTACTGACAACTGAACATACACTAAGACAAAAAAAGCCAGGTTTTCTCCTTAGCATCACCTCCCACTTCCACTTCCAAACATAGATCTCCACTTGCTATTTCATTCTAAGGAACGACACTTTGACCCCAGACTGGCTTCAACACCTACTTCCACAAGTCAGAGTATGTTGATTTGCTCCTAAAATCCGATGGATATTAAAGTTGTTTAACATAAATAGTGCTGACTCTATTAAGATTTGATAACAATATAATATGAAGGTATGCTAAGAAAAATTGGATTAATACTTAATTTTCAGAACACATGCATGAAAATACATCTGAAGTAACTGTAAGATCTTGTCTGTAAACATATTTGACATATCTAAGAAAAAATGGGCACATAATTATGTTAACGTAGTATTAAGAATAATTCTGCTTTACTAAATTAGTGTTAGAATTCAAATATTTTAAAACTGCATAAGGGTACTTTAGCATCAAGCATATTTAGGAGCTTGTTGAAGTCAAGCTGTTTATCCCAAAATACAAAGTTGATATTTGATAACACTTACAACTCCAACGAGATTTTAAACATACCACTGATATGGCACAATGTTAGTAAAATAAATATTATGTTTCCAAAGTGCATTTTGACCTACTTAAACAAACATATCTTGAAGTGATTATTAGATGGTATTAGAATTAAAAAGATAGGCTGCTTACTTTACATAGCCATTGGCCTTGTTATTGCCAGACAGTCTAGAGTATAACTTGAAAGTCTGATCTCTAAGAAACCTCGATGTTGTTCATCAAGACTAATAAACTGAGAATCAATAAACTGTTCATCAAGACTAATAAACTGAAAATCTTCTTTAGACAATAAAATCATACAGTATTTCCTGCATACAGAGGACAGATATTCTTCAAGACCTGTCTTTTAATGTGTTTAATTTTTTAATCACATTTTAGTTGCCTACCACTCATAAGAAAAACTAATTTTTAGATTCCTCAAACTAAGATCGATTTCATTTTTCCTTCAAAATTATTTCTGAACAATTTTTTTTTTCTGCAATACACATCTGTCCATCCTGACTTACACAAATGCTGATGCATTTATTTACAGTCTATCCTAATGGCTGGTGCATAAGAGTTACACCGATGCTACTGCACATGCATGTATGCGTATAAACAAAATGCAATTACCAGCAAAGCTAATTTTTTTCATCGTATTTCAAAGAAATATACCAGACCTAAAGTATAACAAGTCCTCACTTGATACTTTTTATAGCTCTTTTCCTTTGACTTGTACTAAGCCTTGAAGAGACATGCCTTTGAAGCTGGGCACAATATTCACATATTGCAATTAACAGTCTGCTAGCAAGCTTTCAATGACAATCTCAGAATAATGAGCCCTTGAATTTCTTTTTTTTTTAAAGGTTAGTTTGAAATCATGAAAGGACAATGCAGCAAATGCATGCCTGCATACCACAAGCACTGCTGGCAGGTTTCATTTTGGACTTCTAAGCCCTGAAAGCATTTTTAAATGGTAAAACAACACAACCTTGTGACAGGAAAACGATTCCATACACACACCATATTCATTAGAGGGCACTGTTTTTCTGTCTGTTTTCTAAGACGTAACAAGGAGTGAACTTCAACTGCTCTAAGGGCTCCACGTTAAATGAACAAGGGAATTTACAGGAAACTCCTCCCAGCCCTCAAATACTATATTCCACTGAAAAGGTTCTACTGAAAAGGTACTTAACCAGTGTCTGAAAAGAGAAAGTTTGAGGAAGTCTATTCCTCAGTTCAATGCCACATCAGTAATTAAGTGGTTAATGAGCTACGAAATTCTGACACAAATATTTAAGCTTCCTACATTATTATTACTTCCAGTACTTTGACTCAATTTTTTCTTCTTTTAATATTGTTCTTGTACAAGGCGACATGCAAATCAAAGCTTTAGTCTGACACACTAAATCATATTTTTTCACGGGAAAAATATATGACAAAATTCAACCATGGCTTTGTTACAGACATTATTAATTCAAAAATAATAAAATATATTTCACAGTTAATAAAACTAATTCACTATATATACTTTCATATTTATTTTTCAGCAAATAAGCCATTAAATCAAGAAAAGAAAGAACTAGGCCGATTTATAAACCTATCCAGTTTTTCTCTGCCAAGAATTTCTCACCAATGAATGTGGTCAGGAAGTTAATAACGGTCAAGTAACTCTTTAGGACCTTGATTAACATTAAGAAAACTGATAGATCAAATTATGACTGAACTGTAACAACTTTTGTTAAAATTAGACAAATTTTTTTTTTTTTTTACTATTTCACCGATGTGCCTATTTTATGAGTGTCCAGGATTTCTAGCATTTATACTCTAATTACAGTATAGGAATCCTCATTCTGCCATCTCCAGGGAAAGACTTATTTTTTAAAAAAACCCCAATAATCTAAAAAGGTATATGTGAATTTATTCATTCATATTCTTAGGAATCCACATATGCTTTTAAAAAAAGTAATTAAAAAACCCCTCTCAACAGCAATTTTGAGAAAGAAAATTTGTTATCAAATACAAAAAGAAGAGCGAGGAGGACCTGCCGTCATATTATGCTGCTTTAGGACCTTCCTACTATATTACACGAGAGCCCCAGCCTTGACCTACGACGATGTGGCCTATTTGCTCAAACAGATCATCCCAGCTCTAAAAACCAAAAAAGATTTAACTATGCACTTTGGGAGTCGAGTTGGCTGCTGATTTCAATGGGTCAAGACCTTCACTGAGAAACGATAGGGCCAATTTTGCAGAAGAGAAGTTTTTGAAAGGAAGGGTGAAATTGTTCAATGGATTTTGACAAGTGCACACTAAAGTTCAGGACATAAAAGCCAAGGTGTAAAAGTGAAGTTGAATCATGCCTATGGTATACAGACATCTGCATCAAACGGCACCTGAAGAACCGAGAGGTTGGTTTAGCAAAGCGGATGCATTACACTTACTAGTGATGCTCTACGAGAACGTCGACTCATTGGCTGATCAAATGGTGGGCTGTTAATCTGCAGCTTTTCAAGATAGCCATCAGGTATCCTGATGTCAGCAGGCAGGGACAAACGCTTGTTCAAATCCTGCAGTAAATAATGTTAAAAAGAGAAGGGTGAAGTATAATTCAGAATTTCCTGAAAAATCTTTTAACACCTGTAGTGTTACTGTTACTCCAGTGTTGCCATTTCAAATGGAAATATTTATACAAATGAAAAATAAGTAGTTTCACAGAAATGCTTTTTAAAAACATTCTCTTCTAGTAATACTTCAAATCAGTTAGATAACAGGCTCAAAAATTCAGTGCTTTACAAACTCATTACTTTAACAGGAGGAATGAAACATTAAAATGTAATTAATTACACTGTGGATAAACGTACTGAATTTACGTGAATACTTATGCATACCTGGAATACCAGAAACTGAGAAATCTGAGACTGGTAAATATATTTGGGTTTATATAATATTTACATCAGAATAACAAGAGACCTCCACAATTCAAAGTGCATCATTCTCCACTCACTTTCTCTGACTAATAAAAGTTATAAACTTGCTTCAACTTCCCTTTTCCAGTCTTACAAAACAGTATCACTGTGTTGTTGAGCCAAACTATTACAAATGTTAATACATTTTCCATTTTCAAGCTCTTTAGTATACGATTTTTAGAAAACCAAACTGTCATTATATAAATAAAAAAATCAGATTCTGTTTTTCACTAGTAAATTTTTCCAACAATGACAGGTATAATTTCTAAGACAAGAGGGAAACAAAATTACTTCACTGTTCAAAAAAGGGTTTTTTTGGGGTGGCTGCACATTCTCATTGATTTTTTATTTTTAGTTTGACTTTAATCTCAAACATGCCAGAAAATGAAATACCAAATATTCTCTTAAGGTGGCCAGTCACCACTAGAGAGACACAAGGGCAACACAGCCAGACTCACAAAAAATGGAAAGTAATTTCCAGAACAGCA